CTCCCCTTCCAAAGAGGTCACGAACCTTTTCAGATTTCTCCTCCTCACCTCTTCCCCAAAAGTTCATCAAGCCAACGCTACGAGCTTCCTTTGAGGTCTTACAGTCCCCCCCCCCCAAGTCCTCTTGGTCCTTCTCTTTTGTCTATCAACAGCCCTGGAAGGTAGACATTGCTCACTGGCAGTGGAAGATGATGAACTTGCCTTTCGTTGGGTTTTGTCTTTTGAGCAGCTTGAGCATAGAGGCAAGGCAGTGATTCTTCTTTGTTTCCTTCACCCGGTGAACTCCTGCCCATCGAAGTAGGAATGGGATGAAAGCAGCTCTTTTGGAAGTTGAGGTGGAAGGGTTGGGAAGAAGGATCATCAGAGAATCTTCCGTATTGCAGCAAGAACTGACAACAGTTGCGTGCAGAGTAAAGGGATGGCATTTTTTTTTGACCTTGAGCCCAAACTGGAGAATTGCACAGAGGGTGCTCCATAATAAGAAGACGGCTAATCTTTTGACGTGATAATGGGCCAGGAGCCAAAATTCTATAGATTTTGAGGGACAAAGTCCAGCATCTTTAGTCAATGTGCAATAAAGGCTGACTTCTCAAAAAAAAAAAGAAACTTATGGACAGCGTTACATTTTCTAAGTTTTACACAACCATCCTTCAACTGTGCTGGATTCTTTTTGGGAGGGAATTGATGAAACAGAGATTGACTTCAATTCACGCTTATTGCTGTCTGCTTTGCACCATTTAAAGTCCCGCCCTTCACATTTTAAATCTTTGGGGAAACAGAAGATTATTTTTTTTCTGATTTTTTTTTCTCCTCCTCCTCTTTTTTTTTTCCTCTTTTTTTTTTTTTGCTTTCTAATTTTTAAAAATAGTACAAAAATAAAGAATTTGCACACAAGGGCTTAAAAGTGACTGGCTGCATTTCAATCTCAGGAGAGAGAGAGAGAACGTGTGCGCGCGCGCGTGTGCGCGCGTACACATATGTGTGTGTTGTCGTGGTGTGGCCAGCTACGTCTTCCAAATCAAAAGCTTCAAAACCCAGCAGTTTGCTTCAGTCTGAAATTGTAAAACTTGCGAAGGAGGGTCCGTTTATCAAAATTGAACCCAGGCAGAGTGGAACAGCTGTGCGGCCCCCCCTTTTCCATTTTCCTTTTTTTTTTTTAAAGAAAAAAAAAAAAACACCTGTTGAGTTCAAAAATAAAACTCCAGTAAATTCCTTGGGTTTTGTTTTGTTGTTTTTTGTTTTTGTGTGTGTGTGTGTGTGGATGTTCGCGTTTAGAAAACTGCACCATTTCAAAAAAAAGAATTTTGCAGCGAGGGTTAAAAAAACCCCTGCAGTCTCCAGAATGTGCATTTCTCTGCTTTAATAATCGTCGAGGGTGGTCTCCAGAAATACGTTTCGGACATCCAATATTGAAGCCAATTCCAAAATGTGCTTTTGGAGGTGCGGATTTTCCACCGTTTCATCCCTGGGCAGTTGGGGATACGATTCGGGATAATTCCTGGTTTCCTGCTGGGGAAAAAAAAGGAAAATAAGAAAAAAAAAAAGCCACAAAATTAGAACGGTTGTGAAAAAGACATCAGAATGCGGAAAGCAGAATAACAGCTGGAAGGGACCCCAAAACAGCAAGTACAAAACACGGTGCGAAGTATAGTGGCATCATTCTGCTTTGAAACTCTTCGAATTTGGTACTCAGAGCATTCTGACACGTGAACATTTCCTCCCAGGGCTCATTTTTTTATCTGCTATTCAAGCTAGAACTTGCCGGTGTCGGCTGCTTTTATGACTCACGATATTATTCCTAATGGGAAAATTGTGTTTGATACTCATTGTTTTGGGGACTCATCACACATCCCAGAACCAATTAACGATGAGTACTGAAGTGGCACTGTACGATAAAACATTTTAAGCCTCTAACAACACTGAGCTGAAACTCGGTGGAAGTATTTGAATGTGGAACTTTGCAAACCATTCGCCCCCTGCCCCATAAGGAAGGAAGGAAGGAAGGAAGGAAGGAGGGAGAGAGGGAGGGAAGGAAGGAAGGAAGGAAGGAAGGAAGGAGGGAGGGAGGGAAGGAAGGAAGGAAGGGAAGGAAGAAAGGGAGGGAAGAAAGGGAGGAGGGAGGGAGGGATGGGAAGGGAGCAAGGGAAGAAGGGAGGAAGGAAGGAAGGAAGGAAGGANTCCTTCCAAGCATACCTATGGAGCGGGAATGAGTCAAGAGTTGTGCGATATCCCGGTTGATTTTGCGAAGGTAGTCGTGGCATTTGTCCCACAGTCCTTTGCGCATGCTTGATAACCCGGAGACGAACAGGAATGCCATGAGCGGATTGTTCAGGAAGAAAGTGAAGAGACTGCCTCGTTGGGATTGATCTACGAGACAATAAAAACCAAACCACTTCACATTGCACCCGGCAGAAACGACGACGAGCGCAAGAGAGGAAGAAGAAGTGACCCACAAGGACAATCCTGAATTCTCCACCATCCTTGAGAGGTTTAAAAGGACCTTTATTTAGGACTTTTTCAGTTAGGGTCATTTATGATAAGAGCTTGGTAGCTTTCAGGACGATCCTTCTTCCTGTGGTCGTTTTCATATTACCGTCCCCGTGTTTGGGAGTGAATTACACAACAGCATGAGTCCGTTTGCAAATCGGTAGTGTATCAAACAAAATTGAATGAACTAATCGTTAAGAGCCTCAGGAGTGGCTTTTTTTCTCTCTGCTGGAGTCATTCACCGTTTGGTGTTGCATTGTGATTGTCGTCCTCGTGTTTAAAGGGGAATATTCCGTTTCTGGCATTACTCTGGACCAGTGCTTCTCAACCTTGGTGGCTTTAAGATGGGGAGGGGGGGTATTTCAAATCCCCGAATTCCCACGCCAGGGAATTCTGGGAGTCGAAGTCCACCCATTTTAAAGCCGCTGAGGTTGAGAGGCGTTGCTCTGGACTACAGGTAGCCCTCGACTTAACGGTCACAACTGACCCCCAAATTTATGTTGCTAAATGAGAGCATTTGTTAAGTGATGGTTTTTTGCCCCATTTTACCTTTCCTACCATTGTTGCTAAGCGATCAGTTGGCGACACACGTTCAGTGAATCTGACTTTGCTCGTCCAAAGGTCCCAAGAGGGGATAATGTGACCCTGGGACACTGCAACAGTCCTAAGTCCATGCCAGTTGCAAAGCATCCGGGAACGCTGCAACGGTCGTGCGAAAACCGGTCACAAGGTCGTTGCTTTCTTTTCCCAGTGCCGTTGTCACTTTGGACGGTCCCTAAACGAATCGTGCCAAGTCGAGGGCTACCTGTCATACTTTTCTCACCCTTTTTCCCAGGGACGCAGAGATTTATTTCTTTATTTATTCCCCCTAGTCCCGGAAGAGAACTTACCTCTACAGCCAAACGGCGAAGTCTCCAGCTTCTCTCCTGCCTTCACAGCTGACCACCAGTTTTTTCTGTGTCACAAATTATGTCACCAGACTGGACTTCATGCTGGGAAGGAGCTGGTAAAGGGGGGTCTCTCTCTGAGAGTGACACCTCTCCACCAGTTACCGTTATGGGGGACTGGAAAAACGGGTGGGAAAATTAATTGGTATCGCACGCTTCTCAAACCAGGCAATACGCTTTCTCCCAACCAAGATTTCCTAGCGGGGACAGAGAGGTTTCCGCTAAGGGGGGTCTCGCCAAATCAACCCCAATCCTTGGGTGGAAATAAAACAGCCATTAATACCCACGCCGTATAGGTGCGACCCCCTATACATGCACTCGACTCACCACCGTTCAAAGTTACATGACACACACACCCCCAGGACACTGCAGCCGTCGTAAATATGAGTCGGTGGCCAAGCGTCTGAATTTTGATCGTGGGACCGTATGAAAAACGTCCGCAAGTCACTTTTTTCCAAGGATGTTGTAACTCTGAACTGGGGTAAGTTGAGGACTATCTATTAGGAGGACTTGGTTTTTTTTTCTTTCCGGTTGAGTTTTGATCGGAGGACCTCCGGAGTTTCATTCCATCCTGCCTCTAATAAAACTCAGCGAGACGGTCTGGAAAGGCCCTCTGCATTCCGACGACGGAAGAATTTAAGGACTCCGGCTGCAAGATAACCTACATTCCTGGGCTCCTATCCAAGTTTTCTTCCTTGTTTTTTTTCTCCTCCAGTCTGATTAAAAGTCCCAAGAATTGTGCAATGGACAGGGGGTTTTAGTCGATCACATGACCCTGGCGATGCCGTGACGGTCCTAAGTCCCTGTGGTCAGCGCCGTTCTAACTCTGAACGGCCACTAAACTGTCATTAAGTCGAGTTTCCCAACCAAAAGAAGCTTGCCATCCTGACGGCCTACCTTGCAACGCTTTAGGATACGTGGTGGGAGAAAGCAAGCAGACCAGCGGCTGCCCGAACAAGTTGGTGAAATTCTGGAAGGGAAGCAGAAAACGGGATCTGAGAGACGGTTCCACTCTTATAAAAAGGGACCGCCGGCAGTTGCGTACGAAAAGCATGTGTTCAACCGGTTGGACCCACAAAGTTTACGTGGCGCCTTCCAGAAATCATATGGACGACACAACGGGAAATTGGAAGATCCTGCTGAGAAGCAAAAGTTGCTTTTTTTCTGCCAAGGGAGTTTCCTTTTTAGCATATTCCTCCCCGGCGGGAACGATCTTGCAGGAGGCTGTGAATTTTAGCAGGTGGTAAACCCGGGGGGGGGGGGGAGGAACAAGGGTACTCCCCCGACTTACGACCAACTAGGATCAAAATTTCTACTGCTAAGGAAGACAGTTGTTCAGCGAGTTTTGTCCCATTTCCTGACTTTTCTTGCCAGTCTTCTGCTGACTGGCCCAAAGTCACCCAGCCAGCTATTAAGGCTAAGTTGGGACTAGAACTCATCTCATCCAGTTGTTGTTTTTTCTGGATTATTGCTCCAAAATGGATGCTTTGTGCAGAACCCTAAGTCAAGTTCAGGTTTTCTCTTCTAGAACCCTTTAGAATTGAGAGGAAAATAGTTAACGCCTCACTTGCAACTTAAAGGCTAGATCCAAGAACATATTTCTCAAATGTCAGGCTAATTTCCTCCTCTTGGCCTCTTCATGCCATTCCGAACGTAGCATGCTCAAGAGGACTAGTAACTCTAAACAGCCTCACCTTGTAGGCGACGCTGTTCGACGAATCCACTATGACAAACAGAGGCTTCCTGGTGAAAGGGTAGAGATCACCAGGGTGCAAGCTGAAAAAAAAAGTCGTCAAATCATAAAATCAGAGGCCACCTGGCTTTGGAAGGTGGGAAACTCTGGCCTCCTAATTGTGGACACTAAGTCGAGGATTTGACGTCCACGGCCGTCCGTCTCGCAGCGGTGACCACGGGGGGAGGCCCAACTGCCCAGCTTCTCAGGAACAAGCAACTTACCAATGCATTTCCTTGTACAACTGGTTCCGTTTGTGGATCCCGTCCCCGTTTATGACGTCCCGGTTGCTATTGGTCAGGACGCCCCCAAAATCATAGGGACCTGCAGGGAGCAAATGGGGAGGGGGGAGGAGAGTCAAGGTCAGGAGAGCAGCTGGCTTGGGGGCGAACTAAACACAGAATAAGGAGCACAATTCCAGGAGGGGGAATTATGACGGAGCTTGTCGAGGTCTTGCTGGCCAAAAACGTTGAAAACTCCCGTCTTAAGGTTGCCAAGTTTGAGAAGCACTGAACTGTTCGGATGTTAAGAGGGGAGGCTAGCTTGAAAGGATAAATGCGTTGGCAACAGGTTAGGTTGAAAGGATGCAGGTAGTCCCCGAATTACACCAGTTCGTTTAGTGACCGTTCGGAGTGACTTAGGACCGTTTTTCACAGTTACGACCTTTGCAGCATCCCCGGGGTCGCGTGTGATCAAAACTCAGGCACTTGGCAACCGACTCAAAAGTTATGACGGTTGCAGTGTCCCGGGGGAGGGTGTGTCACCTGATTCCCCCTGACAAGCAAAGTCAAGGGGTTCATTTGACAACTGAACAATGGCAGTGATCCCCTTAAGGATTGTGACGAGAATAGTCGTAAAACTGGGGCACAATTCGCTTGGCAAATTCTCACTTAGCAACAGAAACTCTGGGCTCATTTGTGGTGGTAAGTTGAGGACTACCTGTATGTTTTGAACAACCCAAACGGAGACCCCTTTGTTCACACCCCGCCAAGTTGGGGGTGAAACCCAATTCTAACAATCAGTGTTAGATACTGGACTGTACATCCCTTTCTCCATTGGAGGATCTGACTGGGGTCTCCCAGAGAGGTCTAGGTGATGGCAAAGAGTTGACATTGACTTGAAGGCATCTAATGTAATCACTCGATGCCCCCTTTTAATTGATAAAGCCAAAGCCACGTTATCTGCGATGGCTCTCGATCTTCCATAAATCCAGGAATGACTCTGATCAGATGGATCTTCTGCGTGGGATACGTTCCTTCGTGATGTCGAACCGTGACATGATTCATTGGGGCTTTCTTACAGACCAAGGCTTGGCGTGACATGCGCTCTAGATCACGGTCTAAAGAAGCAGAGATCAAGGGGAGCAGAAACTTCTCCAAGACTTGGACTTAAGAGCTGAGAAAGGGCATCTAAAGCTTTGGATGGCCTTCAGCTGTCCAACAGTTCTCCTTCTACGTACTTAAGAATCAGCGTGGTGGACATCTCAAAGGCTTCCCCAAAGTTAGACGTAGAGGGTGGTCAAGCAAGTTATCAGAGACAAGAGCTCACAAAACACAGACGACAAAATAACAGAACAGAAGAACAGAGTTGGGAGGGACCTTGGAGGTCTTCTAGCCCAACCCCTTGCTCTAGCAAAGAGACAAAATGGACCCAAGCACCAAAACACATGCTTTGAATCCTGTAACAGCTTTTCCAAAGTTATTTTGGGGGAGGACGGGACCCGCCACCTTTCCAGCTATGATTTTATAGTGTTTTGTTGGGAGAAATGAGTGAAAGGCTCTGGAAAAGTTAATGATTCATGCAAGGAAGATGTAACAAGCATGCATTTTATAAAGGAATGCAAATCTCAAATGGATGGAATGAGGTGGGCACAACGTCAAGGGATCCCTCGGTTGGGGGGGGGGCAGACCTGATTCCACGAGATCCTCATTGGTTTCACGTGGTTTTCTCCAAGGACTCAGCAGCAAATTTTAAAAAGGGGAGGGGGTGGAAGACTTGGGAAGGGAAGGTTAAGCAAAAGAGAGTCCTTTTTACCAAGGAAGGACATAGAAGTGAGGATCGGAGGACGGAAACTACCAAAATCGTGAAAAGGGCTTGAATTGTCATGACAAACAAGGAAACGGCCACCACACACACCCCAAGACCACGTTGGAAAGCCACTGAAGCTCTGGTTTTGCCTCTGAACTGGGTTTTCAAAAAAAAACACCAGGCCAGGTAAAGCAGAAAAACATCAGAATTTCTGATAAGATTTGGACACTTTCTAGGCTAGGTGGAAAGACCCACAACAGTCCAGAAGAACATCTCTGCTTCATCACCCCCTACCAGATGTTCTCCATGAGGAGCCCTGGAGCATCTCAGCGGCTTCTTAACCCTTCTTCTCCAGAGCCAGAACAGGCAAACATGGCGCTGACTGACCTGGCCCATCAATGGAAGGGCGAAAAAGGACCAGCTGAGGCCTTCACAGCACACCGAAGGGAGTGTGTTGAAACTGGAGAGGACCAGAACTGGGTCAAGCTCTCCTGGGCTCTGAAAGGCAGGGCCCAAAGAGTTGAAGACCCACCCAACGAAGGACAACATCAGCTTCTCCGGAGAGTAGGCTTAGGGTTAGTGTGGAGGCTGCCTTGCCGTCCGCGAACCATAAAGAGAATTCAAGGCCTGTTCACAAAAGGAAGCATTCCTTTATTTGTACCTTCACTATCCAAACGACCTGAAGGGAAGACACCGGTGGCTGACAAGTAGATCAACAGGACGCTATTGGCAGGAAGCTCCTGAAAAAAGGAATCAGAAGAAGGAAGGAAGGAAGGAAGGAAGGAAGGAAGGAAGGAAGGAAGGAAGGAAGGAAGGAAGGA